GGATAAGCACCAGGGAGAACAAGTCTTCCATATGGAAGAATTCCAAATAATATACATAGGTACTCTCCCTTCCAGGAGGTGGAGCTAAAGCCCCACTCACCTTAAGTGAAAGGCTGAACTTTGAAAAATCAGCATATGGAAAGGAAAAAAGTATAGCTTTCCAGCAAAGAAACACAGCAGACAGCACCTTAACCAAGTGACAAAGGATAACATCACCTGTGATGTCATGTGGGGATCATTTACCCCAAGGATTCAATGAGAAGGGTGTATCACCTGTGCTCTTCACTAAAACCTGGTGCCCTAATGTAGTCCTGAGAAGAAAACCAAATCCAAGCTAGGGGACATTACACAACATACCTCCACACACTCAGGACTGTCAAGGTCATGAAAAACAAGGAGAAGACTGAGAAGCCACCAAAGACCACAAAAGACCAAGAAGAAATGACAACTAAATACAGTGTGGCATTCTGGACTGGACCTTGGAACTGGAAAAAAAAAAAAAAAGACATTAATAGACTAACTGGTAATGGTAATATAAAAGATAATATACCACAGCTGGTTTCTTGTGATAAACACACCACAATAATATAAAATTAGAACAGCAGGGCAAGCCGAATCTTATACTACACCTTTTTAACTTCTCTGTAGATCCAGAAGTACTCAAAAATTAAGAGTTTAGGGGCACATGGGTGGCTCAAGGCTAAGCATCTGCCTTCAGCTCAGGTCATGATCCCAGATTCCTGGGATGGGCCCCACGTGGGGCTCCCTGGGTAATGGCAAGTCTACTTCCTCTCCCTTTGCCCTTCCCCCTGCTTGTGCTCTTTCTCAAAATAAAGAAAATCTTAAAACAAAACAAAAAACAAAGAGTTTATAAAGAAAATTGCAGAGATCCAGATCAAGTATGTGGAAGCATCCTGTATCAAAATCACAAGATTTTTCCTAAGTGTTCACTGCTATTAGCCAGAGGATGTCTAACCCACAGCCGGGGCTGCACATGTCCCTCCCTTCCTCAGCATAAGTGTTCTGTACTAAGAGGCAGGACCTCTAATCCCAACTGACCATTTCCAATTAAGTCCTTTGGGTCAAATGATGATCAGGAAATAAAAGTCTGAACTTAGTACAAACAGTTTTAGATTTATATGAATGCCTGTGAATAAAGGCATTTCAAGGTTTTGGAATCTGGTTCATCTGACCAGATATTTAAGTCTCAGTAAGGGGGGGGGGGACCTTAAATAAAAATAGATGAAAGGCCTTTAAAAGGCAAACCTTGCCAGTATCACATGTTTCCATTTAGGAGTAAGAATTTCTGGGTACCACAGGGCTTTAAAAAAAAATGTACATTTTAAAAAAACACCCCGGTTTACAAAAGTGACCTATGAGCTGGTTGACATGTATTGAATAAAAGGAGGCAATATTAAGATTTATAATGAAACACCTTAGTATCTAGCTTAAGTCTGTTATTTAATACTAAATCAATATTTGAACCAAGACTGTCTTTGGCAAACCAGGATGTATGGTCACCTTAACTAAAGACCTAATTTTGAAAAACGGTTATAGAAGAAATACTGTGTTGGCCTACTTCCTACTAATTAAAATTTTAATAATATAGATCCAAAATGCAAGTCACAATCAGAATTTTACAAGACAGAAGACCTGGTAAAGTGAGGTACTTTATCTAAGTCTACAAAAATCTAAGCTATTAATGATAACATGTATAGAAACAATAATGGTGTATACATAAACAATGATTAGAAAGTAGTATGATTTTAACATAATCACTTCACATTGTAGATATGCCCATATGGATACAAATAAATGACTGAAGTCTGGCTCCATATGTGCAGATTTTGAATTTGGAGCCATACCAAGTACAAAAAATTGGGGCTAGAGAATGGCTGTTCAAAATAAAAACGAAACTAAAAGAAACAAACAAACAAAAACCTCCAAAAAGACGGTAACTCAGTAAACTTACCCAAAGAGCATTTAAAATAGAAGACATTTTTGGGCACCTGGGTGGCTCAATTGATTAAGCATCTGACTCTTGATTTTGGCTCAGGTCATGATCTCAGGGTGGTGAGACTGAGTCTGGCTTCCAGCTCTATGCTGGGCATGGAGCCTGCTTAAAATTCTCTCCCTCTGCCCCTCCCACTAACCCCCACCCTGCGCACTTGCTCTCTCTCTCTCAAATAATTAAATAAAAAAATAAGAGAGGACATTTAATTTTCAGTTCAATATAGTAACCCAAAAGACAGATTGAATTTTTATTAATAAAACATCTATTTTCTCAATAAAGGATATAGATGTTTTATTAAATCATAGAAAGGGCTAAAGATTTTTCTCAAACATTTACAACAGATAAAATTTGGCTAGCCTTAAAGATTTCAGACTGTAAAGTCACAGTAATCACAACCCCCTGGTGTTGATCTTCATTTCTATATATCTGAAAAAGTATGTGTCTGACCAAAATCACACCAAACCAAAAGCTCCCCAAAATGAAAAATCAAGCACAAATAAAGTAATTCAGATTCAGTAGTTTAAATATAGTATTTCAGTGACAGTTTGGAGTGTGACTATCACTGTATTATAGAAAAAGGCCTTGATATTATACTACATTTTTAAACATATGCTGTCTATTCCACCTACTAATAAAAATGAAAAACAAGTCTTCCGGCTAAAATAGTGATGTTGGCCAATTCTATGGTATTCATGATACATTAGCTCAGATCTGAATTATGATGTGATTAACTAGCTAGGCAGTAGCTTTAATATAAAACCAAAGTGTTATCTCCCCTTCAGTTTACTGACCTAAGCATTTTTCATTTTAGTGTTATTTTTGCATTAACAGGCAATTACTTCCCCCTTCCTACAACTTGCACTACAGAAAGGTTTCAGAATGACAGCCTTTTCCCTTTCATTCTTAACTATTCTGTACACCTAAAATAGACAACTGCAGGAAAAAAAATGTGAAATGAAAAATCTCTTGCTGCCTTTAAACAACTGAGCTCTATACTCAAGAGACAATTCTGAGTTGAGAAATTAAAAAATGGGAAGAGACAATATAAAAATCTCCTAAAATGTAGAAGAAATTAGACTAGTTTAGTTTTCTTTAATATCTTCTTTAATAAGACATTACAGCACACAACTGAACCCCCAATGTGTCAGTTAAACATGGGGATGTAGATCCATAGGAAGTAGAACGGAAACAAATGTAATCTTGACCCCATTTCTTTTGGCAAATAATGGAAATACAGAATACAAATGGACCAATTCTCTCTCAGTGTCTCAGATTTTATAAAGTCTTTGAAGACACCATAACAGTTTTATAATGAACTTTGCTGTGATCTGTTAAAGAATCTTCAAATTTAATAATGAGGATGCTTAAGAATTGTAGTTTTCCCTTAGAGCAAATTTAACTCAAACATAACAAAAAGGGATTGTACTAATAATCCTTACATGAAGTATAATTAATGTCTTAAGCAAGACCAATGCAGCTATTTTCCTATCACTGAGATATAAAGTTATATATGGTGTCTTCAGCTGCTTATAAAAAAGGGTTAAATACCAGAACAAAAAGCCTTTATTCTGAATTACAGTCAGCAAAAATGAAAACAAACAAAAAAAAAAAAAACAAAAAAAGACTTGTGAATGGTTTTTAAATGACTTGTTACTAAATGTAAACATACATATGGTCAAAGCGCTTTTAAAAATCTTTAAATTGTAATGTAACCAGAACTTTAATAATACCCACAAGCAATCAGGCAAATTCTCATGTTCTGGTAGCAACATATTAGGAGGTAACAGATATTAAGTCTGAAATTTAGGAAATTAAACACGTGAAAAAAGTTATTTTGAAGAATGTAATAGAAGTTGCTAAGAAACTATCGCCACTGAAGCTTTTCCTTGTAAATATCTTACTTGAAACTTACAGTGAAGTCAAACAAGATGGGCATAGCTACAAAACAAATGCAGTGATGAATTACAGCGGGGAGAGGGAATGCATTTTGTAATCCAGAGTCAGATTTGTGCCTCTAAGCAATTACCAGTTGAGTGTTCTTCCTATTATATGAACTTTAAAATTTAAACAGAGTTAAAGCAGTTTCACGAGTAAAGTTAATAGTTGACAAAAGCAAATTAGAAGAACCCTAAAATTAGTCTTCCTTAACTGGGTAGGATTTACCTCACCTATCTTTACTAACCCACTTCCCCATCCTCAAAGCCACAAAGAATGTGAAGATTGGCGTATATTTTAATCCTTTTCTAGTTCAGACAGAAGTCTTACTGTACAGTCTTTGATTTTAGGAACCAGCACAAAGTAAACTCCTAAAATCAACTATTCACTTACAAAGGAAAGGAGGGAGGTGGTTATGGGAATTAACCCAGCTGCAAGTCATTCCAATCTTCCTGTTAATGAAAAACCATTCATAAAACTGGCTAAAACATTAATAACTTCCAAAAAAAAAATCCTTCAAAAATTGAGTTTTAATTTCCAATTAGTGAACTTGAAGAATTTTGAAAGAATCTGGTATAATTTATGTAAGACAGAACTTTACCAGTTCACATATGATCCATCGTATTTTGGATTCAGTAACAGCCTCACTGATTCCATCACGGCATATACTTCAGAGCCTCATCTTTCAGACGGGCTCACTGAAAATCCAACACATTAGCAATTTATCAGTCATCTCCAGGGTGTTCCTGGATGGCAACTATGGTCATGCGGCAAGCTGAAATATTCCCACCTCAAACACAGGAAACAGAGGAATCAATGACGCATGCTGGTAATATACTAAGGCAGCAGGGAAGTCACTCTTCGCCTCCATCAACAGCGGCCAATGAAACTGCATGAATGGGGCTGTTCTAGTTTAGCTAATGAACCTGCCACTGAGCGGAGAGAGGGACAGAAGAACCGCGCCTGCAATTCTAGCTGACAAATTCATTAGATTTTCGTAAGGCAAATAATGTGGAAAGTTAGAACAGAATTTCTAGAACCATTTATCCTGTGATGTTGTAAAATCAAAGTACTACTTTATTAAATGAGTTATTTTACACAATATGAACATCAATATAATTACAATTGTAAAAAAATTTTTTATAACAAGGATGGACTGATTTTCAGATTTCCAAATCAGAGTCAACTGTACATTTACACAGAATTGTCTTTGCATGAAGCCCAAAAGGGAACAGCATAAAAATGAGTGTTTCTGTAGCCCCTTTATTTTTGCTGATCAACAGTTTGTTAGAAAAGCAGCTGCAGGTTTGTTACCTAAGGTCTGAGACAGTAGAAGAGTCAAAGGTGTCATGAATTCACCTATAAAACATAAATGAAATATGTAGTGAATGTAAGCATTGCACAAATACAACTTGTATGCATTTCAAATGTCTAAGAAAAATGCACCACATGCAGAGCTATCAAGTTAGTCTGACAGATGTGTCAATGATTTTATAAACAAATCTTTGATGAATTTACTATGAAAAGAAATTATCTCACACCATCCCACCTTAGAGGAAACAAAGAACACAAAACCAAACACACAGATTATTTTCAAGCAACTCTCAAGTTTATACACTATATGCCTCTATTTGCCAGGTGTCCTAATGCACTAAGCTCTGTTGGACACCAGAAGTAAAATACCTGCCCCAAAGCACTCAGGAACATTGTTCTGCATCATTTCTGGGGAGCAAGACCCTCAAATGCCTTTGTAATAGTTATTTTCTTTAAGCTAGTAAGTCTCTTCCATTCTTGCACCACAGGTGGCCAGCATCACGTCACCTCCCCATTTTGGGCTACAGTTTAAACTTGGGTGTTTCAAAAGTAGTGGGAAGATCAAACTGGTTTGGAAAATGGGCTTTTAACAATTGTAAAAATAAACATTAACTTAAAAGGGGAAGGAATAAAATCTCAGCTGGAAAGTACACATTAATTTCACAGTCAGAGAAGATAATTTTGCTCTGTATACAACCTTGACATTAACGAAGGAAAACACAAAAGGTCAATTACCTGTAAACAACTTTATGCCTGAACATCAGCCAATTCTGGAGGAAGTGGAGTCTTAGGATGCTTGCTTTCAAAGTGCTGCTTGAAGGTCTTAGGGTCTGGCATTTGTGTCTAATTAAAAATATGGGGAAAAAAAGGAACTTGAATTTCATGAAATAAAAAATGTGTTAACTTTTCAATTCCTGAACCTGCTCATGATAGACAATTATCTCAAAACACTTTTAAGTTCCTGCAACTAGTGGCTGGCATATGAAAAAGGACCTTGTAACAAAGAGATTCCTAATGTATCACCGTATTTCACATATGAAGAAAGGGTGGGTCACACAGAATGAAGTATTCTGCCTGTCTGATTAACAGCAAACAGGTAACATTTACTTAAAATGTTATGCTAAGCAGGTTACCTCAATTCTCAGAACCTTCCTACAGTAATCTTAAATTAGTTCCTACTATCCTCTCTCATTTCACAGGATAAGGAAACTAAAACCTAGTGTGTAATTTGCACAAGACCTGTTTTAACCTAGTACTAGTACTTCAGTTCTCAAATGCTACACTATACCAACTTCCCTAGGCAAGGACCTTCAATTATTTACTTTAGCCCATTTGATTAAACAAAACATGGAAAAAAAAAGTTTTTGCTGTTTTGTTCTGAGTTTTTAAATAGGTGAACAGCTAGTACTTTTAGGTCAAAGTATTTATTCATCAGTAATTTAATGAAATTTACATTTACCCTGCCTCTTTCCAAACAGAATCTAAAGTTGCACGATTCCATTGAGTATATCAAAGCTTAGTATGAACAAGGCATTTAATGTAATAGATTTCCTCTCTTAATGAGAATTTTTATGTAGTCAGGAACTTCTACTTCATCAGTAATGCCTTCAGACAATGAACTTTACTCTTGGAATCATGTCTTACTGAGAGCCCTTCCCACAACCGTACCCAGGTATATAAGGCTTTGAGAAAAAATACATTATACATATGGTATCTAGAAGCATAGTATTTGACCAACCTATGTATTTTTTCTTTTGGGACTTCTTTTCACTAACTTCAAGGGTGCTAAGCTTAAGCAAAAAAAGCAAGAAAGAGACTCTGACTTTGAATTAAAGAAAAACTTTTTACTTTTTCAAGATTTTATTTACTGAGTGAGTGAGAGAGCACAAGTGGGGTGTCGGGCGCAGAAGGAGAAGCAGACTCCCTGCTAAACAGGGAGCCCAACACGTGGCTCAATCCAAGGACCCGGAGATCATGACCTGAGCAGAAGGCAGACATTTAACTGAGCCACCCAGGCACCCCAAGAAAAACTTCTTTGAAAGGCAGTGTGGTACAGTGGTCTGGAGGGTGGGCTCTGGAACTAGACTGCCTGGGTTCAGATCCCAGCTCTTCTTTGTACTAGCTAGATCACCCTGCACAAGTTATTTAATGCCCATGACTCAGTTTATTCTTCTGTAAAATGAGAACAAAAAGTCCTTTATCTCATAGGGTGGTTAAGTTGATTAATGGGCTCATACATGTAAAATACCTGATAAGCACTTGACAGTAGTTGTTACAACTATTCTTCAAATGTAATAACACGCATTAATTCTAGTAAAAGCTCTCAATGTAAATATACTCCATATAGTTTTACAGACATTCCACTACAAATTTAGTGAAGAAAAAAGTCAACTCATAACCAGAGATAGGTTCACTTGTATCCTGCGTAGCTATAAACTAAGAATATAGATCTGGGGGCGCCTGGGCGCTCAGTGGGTTAAGCCTCTGCCTTCGGCTCAGGTCACGATCTCAGGGTCCTGGGATTGAGCCCTGCATCAGGCTCTCTGCTCAGCAGGGAGCCTGTGTGTCCATCCCCCCACCGCCGCCTGCCTCTCTGCCTACTTGTGATCACTCTCTGTCAAATAAATAAAATCTTAAAAAAAAAAAAAAAAAGAAAAAAGAATGTAGATCTGATTTCCTTACAAAGTTCAAAGTGCTGTATCTGCTCTGAAGAAGACATCTTTATTCTAAATAAGGAAAGGGACTTTGCTTTGTTCACTCCCTTTCCCTGACACCTAGAGAACTATGCCTGGTCATAGGAGCCATTCAAAAAAAAAAAAAAAAAATCTGTTTAATAGACAACTGAAGATGGACCTCTAAAATAACCAATTCTTCAATCTACTATTTATTCTGCCATAGTTGCAAAGTTGTAACCTATATAAAACCAATGTCTTAGTAAAGAATTGTCCACAGGAAAATGGTCTTTCACTTCCCCTTACCCTACAAACAGTGCAGGTATATATTAAGGCAGCTTTGGCAGCAGCCTTTTGGTCATGTCCTTGTTTCTTCTTTTGTCCAGCTTGCTTTTTGGCATTTTTCTGCTGAGACTGAATCTTCTGCTGTCCACGAGCCATATCTAAAAACAGAACTTGAAGCATTAGAGTGATTAACACAGAGTAACCTAAGTATGGTAACACTCTCAGAGTTGAAGACTTAAATTTTATAGAGGGATCTATCAAAATGTGTGGGTTTTCAAATTCTGGCATACAATGCTAGTAGAGAATAAGTCAGTACAACCACTGTGGCAAACTGGTAGTTATCTACTCTATAACCCAACAATTTTACTCTCAGTATGTATCTAACAGAAATACAAATGTACGTATATATCCAAAAACAGTACAAGAAAGTTCACAGCACCTGTTTCCAAAATTGGAAACAACCCAAATGCCAGTTCCTAGTAAAATGGATATGTAACTTACGGTGCATTTATACAATGGAATACTACACTGCATTCAAAAAGGAACTACTGTTACAAGTAACAACATGGTTGTATCCAATGTTAAGAGAAAGAAACCAGATACAAAGAATATAGGTTGTATAAAATTTAAAACAGGCAAAGCTAATCTAGGAGATACTGACTGGGGAGAAAAGGGCACGAGGGAGGATTTATGGGGTGGTGATATGTTCTATATCTTGACGAGGGAGGATTTATGGGGTGGTGATATGTTCCAAATCTTGATCTGGGTAATGCTTATACAGTGTGCTCACTTGTAACAATTCATCGAGCTGTACATCTGAGATTTGTGCACCCTGCTATACATAATCTTCAAAAATTTACCAGAGAAGCTTAGTGCCTTTACCCAAGTATTTGCCTGATCACTTTTCAAAGATACCTTCCCTTTCCGGTTTTCACTGTTGTGAATTAAGACTTTTACAACTTTAAGAGAAATAAAGGCTGTCATCTAAAGCTTCTGAAGGAGATCCTAAGAGCAATGGGAACTGTTCTCTTAAATACTTCAGGTTCCATAAAAACTACTGTGCTATCCTAAATCCTCCTAAAAAATTGGTCTTTGCAGCGTTGCTGGGGAAATTAAACAAAACTAAATCAGTTTTCAGTTGAGGGAATGAACCTTGTAAAAAAGGTAGAGATACTTTTACTTTTTACGAATAGTCTTAAATGAAGCTAAATGGGTAAAAAATTGTTACTGAAAATGTTACTTTTACTTCTTCATTAAAATTAAAGACTTCTCAAATCAATCAACAGACTCTTAACTATAGAGAACTGATGATTTCCAGAGGGGAGAAGGGTGGAGGGATGGGTGAAACAGGTGATGGGGATTAAAGAGTAGACTTATCATGATGAGCACGTAGCATGTATAGAACTGTGGAATCACTATATTGAACACCTGAAACTAATACAACACTGTATGTTAACTATACTGGAATTAAAATAAAATAAAAAAATAAAGTCTTCTATTAGACAACATGAATTAAAACTGCTCATAAGGAGTATATGGGCACCAAAGGCTTTTTAAATATATTGAAATTGGGTCCTACGTAGAATTCCTATATATACCTTTGACTAGCACTGCAGTTAGGTTTTAAGCTTTTAAAGCATTGCAGGATATGAACAGAAAATGGATCTAGATCACCTTTACAAGAAAACAGGGCTGGCTTTTTTTCCTGACTAAAACCCTAATTAGTTAATGGATATAAAGTCAAAGCATTTCATACAAACACACAGGCCTCTCCCAAAAAGAAAAAGGGAAACTGACAAAATAAATACACCGCCTGGACAAATTCCCCACTAGTATTTAACACAAAACTGAAAGTCCAATAAAACATACAAGAGGATCAATGCTTTTTTAAGAAGTCGATTAATATTTTAACTAACTATAAAAATTTTTAGTATGCTAGCCTAGTTTATTCCCAAATAGTAAATATTACCAGATGTGTTGCTCCTTGAAAACTAAATTACCATTTTAGTTTTTATAAAGCCAAATCTTTATTAATCCCAAGTCAAATGGTATGATTCTTTTTAAATGTATATTTAAGTACAAATGTTATGGCAAGCATGCGGAACCTATTTCCACAGAAACAGATTTGACTACTTAAGTATCATTTGGACGATAATAGGTATTCTCAATCTTTACATATCCCATTTCATAACATCTTTTTATCAGTACCTTATGTCAGAATACTTCAGTCCTCTCATGCATCTGAACTCTTCTACACAATATCTGCTACACATGCTAACATAATGATTTTGTGGGTAACCTCAACTGTTTTATGCCATTCCAGAAGTTTCTTTGATAATTACAAGATATTAACTATTTTGATACCATTTTCATGCAGTGATCTGTACAATGTAATGAGATGCACAACATTATTTTTAACTTTTCCATTTAGGGCTTCTCCTAAAATATAACATTACACAATAGATTTAACCCATTTTCCATTGTCATCTAACAGTAACAAATAAAACCATAAAAGCTTTAATAAGTAAAGACTGGCCGCTTATTCTTTTTAAAACCGAAAACCCGGTAAAGGAAATCGAATCAAGAGTCTAAACGCGTGGGGTAGGCCCCTAACTTCTAACAACTCACTGCATTGATTTCCTTTCTGAAAGCAGAAATGCAAACGAACAAGCCACCTGCTTTTGGACAGCTCAACTCTGTGATTACTCTCAGGCCAATCGAATTTTCTACAAACTCTTAAGCACTTCTTAATTATACACAACTGAGGGCCAACAAGTCATTTACAAACACCTTAAACGCAGGTTTTTAAATGTAACTCTTAGTGTGGCTTAGAGGGCTGCAAAGAGGGAAGGAGAAGAATAGAGTTCTTCTAAAATGAAGAGCTCTTTCAGGAGGCAACAAGTAAGTACTGCCTCCAAAGATCCTCTCAAAACCAGAAACAACGGAGTAAAAAAAGATTTGGGATTCAGGAAGTAGGATCATTCTCCATAAATATCTGAAACGAGGAGGCCCAGGCAGTGATCAACATCCTGACCCTAGCTTTTAACTACATCCTTTCGCGGAGGGAAGAGGAAAGCACCGGGAGTAAGATCTATTTCACCCAACACTTGATCAATCCCAGCGGCAGCCCGGCCCACCTTCCTTCCCAGCCCGCCTCTCCCGCGTCGGGGAGCCCCTTCCTCGGTCCGGCCACGCAGCCCCCACCTACCCGCCACTCCTCACCGACCCCGGCCCGAGACGCGCCTCCCGGAGGCTTTGGCTGCCCCAAACCCGGCCTCTTCGGCCGCGGGGAGCCCCGGCCTCGAGAAACCGACCAGCTGCTGTCGCCAAGGAGTAAGGTTACCGCTCCGCGCCACGGCCGCGGGCGGCCTGCAACCCGGCCACCTGCAGGGCCTGGCAGGCGCCCGAGCTCTCCCTCCAGCCCGCGGCCCGCGCCGGGACAGGACGGGCCCGGCCGCCGCCGGGGAGGCGGGGAGGCCGGCGGCCCCTCGCGACCCGCCGCGACCCCGCCGCCAGGCCCCCACCCCGGCTCCCGGACGTCCTGCGGCGTCAGCGCCGCCCCCACAGCCGCTCACCCGGGCCGGGACAGTCTTGCGTCGGAGAGACCGCGCAGCGCGAGAGGGCCGGGGGAGGTGGCCGCAGGGAGAGGAAGGGGGAGAGCGCCCAGCACCGCTTCGGCCTCCTCCACCCGCCAAGGAGAGGAAAGAGGAGAGCACAACAGCCCGCGCCTCGCGCCCGCCGCCGCCGCCGCCGCCGCCGCGCGCGCCCGCCGCCGCCTCAGCCTCGGGGGAGGCCACTACGCTCGTGCCCGCGCACGCCGCGCAACTCTCCCAGTCGCCCCAGCGCCCGCCTGCTCTCGCCGCCCACGCGCCTTCCTGCTGCGGCCGCCTCCCGCGCCCCTCCCCTGCTCGCACGCCTGCGCCCTTTCCGGTCGCGCGGGCCAATGGCAGCGCGCCCCTATTACATAAGCGTCAGGGGGCGGGGCCTGGCGGCGACGGCGGCCCCTAAGAGAGGGGAACTGCAGGGGACGTCGCCCTCTGTCCCCGGCGCCCCTCCCCTCCCGCGTGCTCTAGCTAGGCGGCTTCGGCCGGCCCCGGGAGCCGCGTGATCCCGGTCCTGCTGGGTGACGGCCTGCGGCGTGTTTCACAAGTCGCTTGCCAGCTCACTCACTGGGGCGGCGGCCGGCCTCGGTCCCCGCGTCCTTTCTCGCCTCCCGCCTCGCCGACGCCCTCCTATGCAGCAGCCCGGGCACCGGCCCGGAGAGGTGCGCCAGCGCCGCCGCGGCGTGGGGTACCGGGGAGCCAGCCACCCGGACGCACCACCGCTGCTACCCCAGCCCCCAGTGCGGCCAGAGGGCCCAGCGGACCCTAATAGGGCCGCGTAGCCTTTGTTCTCTCACAGGCCAACCCCCAGTCTCGTTCCCACGGAAACTCTGGTTATTTTTACCAATCGGGGGTTTTTAGTGAGTTCAGGATTCCAGCCTGTCTCAGTGTTGCTGGCTAGGGTACCCCGACCGCTTTAGCTGAATCCTAACATCATACAGAGTTGCTAATACTTGGAAATGGTTAAGTTGAATGGGGGGGGGGGTGTTCTCTATGATTTACAGGCCATGACCGCTAACTTCCAGTATGTGATTAAGAACAGTTGAGTCTGTAATCTGCTGATATCTGCAAATGGCATTTCAGACTTTGGCTTTATTCTATTTCACTGCAGCCCATCTCCCCCCGCCCCCAAGACTGGTTTCTAATTTGATTTTATTAATAACAAGGAAAAGGGAAGCTTTTACATCTGACGTTCTCACCTTGCTGATAGCATCCACTCTCCCACTTGCATGTCATTGCCCAGGGGAAGCTAGTTTAAAATATATACCCCAAGTGAGCAGGACTGGGATGTAGATATTACAGAATTATTTAGAACAACCGGAAAGGAGTAAGTGGCTTTTCTCATTTGGGTGGCATACAATGATCTGGCTTTTTAAGTCCTTCCTTATCCTCATTTCAGCCTCTCTCGCCTTTACCTTTCACACCTCTCCCATACTGCAGTTTTAAGTTATATGTTTAAATTTTATTGATATCTTTCCAGTGTTGAGTTGCAAGCTCATTTTCATCACTATATGGCCAGAGCCTAGCGGTGTGCTAAACATAGTAGGCACTGATTAAATGGATATTGGCCAAATGAACTGGAGATATCTAAAGAAATCAAAACTTTTGACATACCATAAAGTTCTAGCTTAATCAATAGTCACCATAACCATAATAACTATATTAACCTGCTAATAAGAGTATGAGGTACTCAGAGAGTCTAGACACAGGAAATCCAAAGATCTCCGTCTAGCCATGAATCAGCATGGGCATGGGAAAGGGACAGAGATTTAGTGGGCTGAGATAAGTCATAACTAGAGACATGATTTTTGCTGTGAAGTGGTATTACTATGCCGCTTGTTACTGCAGCCTATATGAAATACCCATTTATGTCAGTGTTTCTTAAAATTCTGCATTATACCCCCTTTGAGAATTTGGGAAAAGCTAAGGACGTTGTCTTGAGAAAGTTCATATATATCAAAACTTGCCTCCATTGGTAGAGTTTCTCAACCTTGGCACTACTGATGCTCTGGGCTAGATCATTTGTTTTTATGGGGGCCTGTCCTAGGGATTGTAGAATGTTTGACAATATCCCTGTCCTGTACCCTTTTAACGTCAGTAGCTCTCTATCTCCAGTTGTGACAAATAAAAAATATCTCCATACCTTTCCAAATGTCCTCTTGGGGTCAAAATCTCCCCTGTTTGAAAACCACTGCCTAGAGGATATGGTATGACTATAACTTTATGTTGGTTAGGGCATTTGAAATATGAAGGGGAAAAAGGAATGGATAAGATTCCGCATCTGAGAAGTGACAAACAGTAAATGAAAGGCGGATGAATTAGCATTACTACCAGCTGGTGTCCTACTTATCCTCTAGAAATGTGACAGCAAATGGGATAGGAATGCCTTAGAAGGATTTTTATACACATTGCTGGTTTTAATTGTGAATGCTGCAGTATTTTTACTGACTGGTTCTCTTCTACCTTTAGACAATTACTCTAGGTTAATATCCAAAAAGCATGTGCCTGTTTTCAAACCAAAATCAGCATCAGATTAAAATGCTTCTCTGAAGACCTGAAAGATTTATTTATTTGTATTCCTGTTTGCTTTTCAGGACTGAAAGAGCTGATGGCCAATCAATAAATTATTTTTCAAATGAACAGATTATTCTGAATCACTTTCTCCAATTTATCTGTGGCATGTAGGTTAATATCTAAATATGGTAAAGTGCTTAGCTTAGAGGTTCATTAGAGTGTAAAAGAGGCAGGGTCCTGGCCCCATAGGTCTTTCCATCAAGTAACACATAATAACAGCAATAATGACAACAATAAACCTAAAACAAAAATGTTTCCTTTTCTAGCTCTTATTCCTATAATCAACTTCTTGTTGCAATTTTTCAGGGCTGCAACCTGGAATACCTTGTTTTCTCTACACTGTTTCCCCAGAGGAATCTCATTCACCCTTGTGGCTTTCAATAATGAACTTCAGATGACCCTATACCTATCTACTAGTTCAACCCTCCCTTCTGATTTCTAAACTGATATATCCAAAGGCCTATTTTCCATTTCCACTTTAATGTTTTATAGACATTTCACATTTAACACAATATAGTATTGAATCAAAGAAGCTGTTGATTATAAGTCGCATTTATCTCCATCAAGATAAAAAAAAAATACTGCCACTTGAACTATGGCATAATACTAAGATACCCTTGACTGTATAATATACCTCAATTTCAGAGATGTTAAAATCAGTTTTAAAAATATTGCAATTTATTAGAATAGCATCAAAAAGAACAAACCACTTAGGAATAAATTTACAAAAAGAAGTGCAAAACATATCTGAATGCTACAAAACATTGTTTTTGTTTTAAAGATTTTATTTATTTATTTGACAGACAGAGATCAAGTAGGTAGAGAGGCAGGCAGAGAGCGAGGAGGAAGCAGGCTTCCCATGGAACAGAGAGCCCGATGTGGGGGCTCGGCTCGATCCCAGAGTCCTGGGGTCATGAACTGAGCCAAAGGCAGAGGCTTTAACCCACTGAGCCACCCATGCACCCCTGAATCCTACAAAACATTGTTGAAAGAACTTAAAACCCAAATAAATGGGGGCGCCTGGGTGGCTCAGTGGGTTAAAGCCTCTGCCTTCGGCTCAGGTCATGATCCCAGGGTCCTGGGATCGAGCCCCGCATCGGGCTCTCTGCTAGGCGGGGAGCCTGCTTCCTCCTCTCTCTCTGCCTGCCTCTCTGCCTACTCGTGATCTCTGTCAAATAAATAAATAAAAATCTTAAAATAAATAAATAAATGGAAAGGCATTCCATGTTCATGGATCCAAATATTTAATATTGTAAAACTGGCAGTATTTCCCAGTTTTATCTGTAGATTCAGTGCTTCCCCTATCAAAATCTCAGCTGT